CTGCTGCTGGGGGCTGCGTGGCTGGCGGGCCCGGCCCGTGGGCAGAATGAGACAGAGCCCATCGTGCTGGAGGGCAAGTGTCTGGTGGTGTGCGATTCCAACCCCACGTCCGACCCCACGGGCACGGCTCTGGGCATCTCTGTGCGCTCAGGCAGCGCCAAGGTGGCCTTCTCCGCCATCAGGAGCACCAACCACGAGCCGTCCGAGATGAGTAATCGCACCATGATCATCTACTTTGACCAGGTGAGTACTCCTTCCTCTCGCGACATGCAGATTGGGTTGATGGGGCTTGTAGGGGGCTGGCGGAATACCGATGCCCCGTCCTCTCCAAGGGCTCTGCAGAGGCACGGGGATGACAGTCCAGACTGACTCCTATATACTCCCCTTCGCTCCCGTCTCCTTATAGGTACTAGTGAACATCGGGAACAACTTTGATTCAGAACGCAGCACTTTCATCGCCCCGCGCAAAGGGATCTACAGTTTTAACTTCCACGTGGTAAAAGTCTACAACAGACAGACCATCCAGGTCAGCCTCCACTTCTGGGCCTGGCCTCAGGCCCCGTAGTGGGCTGCTAGCTACAGGGGTGCGCGGGCTACCCGGAGGTGGGAGAACGGGATAGCTACTGCATGTGATGGGGGCTGCTTGGAGGGACAGAGAGAAAGGCCTCATGGTTTTGTGGCTTGCAATGGTCCCTTGCTTTCCCTGTCATTGGCTTTTGGACCCAGCCCCATCCCCAGAGTTTTCTGCCTCTGCCTTGTGGGCCTCTTGGAAAAGCTTCCCTGGCTTTCCTACGGGACTCTGGGGAGTTCCTGTGTCGGTGGCTGTCAGCACCAGGGACAGCTTCCGGAAGCTTCCCGCTACCCCGCTCATAAACCTAGAGGAGGCTGCCTTGACTTCAGCACCAAGGACAGGGTCCACCTCCCTCCTCTCCCAACACTGGTGTCCCTTTGGAGAGTAACTGAGCTTTTGAATCAGCAGCTGCGAGCCCAGGCTGGTGAGGGACGTAGAGAGAAGGGAGGGGGCGTTGTGCCACTCCCTCCTGGCTCCAGCCCTGTCCTAGCCAGTACTTGCCGGCTCTCCCGGAGCCCGAAGGTGGCAAGGTTTCCTTTGGGCGCAGAGACGGGACACTCGGCTGGGGTGAGGGCGCCTGGCGTTTTGGCTGACGATGCCACCACAAGGACAAAACCAGACGGTGGCGGGCGCAGCTGGATCTGGCGCGGCCACGGAATCCGCGGTTTGGCGACGGAGCGCGGAACGCAGCTCCGAGCGAGATTTCTAATCAGTCCGAAACCTTGCTCGGCTTTGCCACGGTGTCCCAGCAACTGGGACAGAGAAGGGCCGTGTGGGGTTCATGTTTGTTTTTGTTCTACCGGGAGCGCCCGGAGCAGAGTTGCCTGTTTCTTTTTTGAGGTTAGATGAAGCGGGAGAGAGGCCAAGGGTCTGGGGAGCTAGGGCCACCTACGGGTTCATTAAACCGATTAGCAGAGGACCGTAGGGATTCATTTGCGCGCCCGGTTTAGAAACCAGGACGAAAGCGACTCCCGCTTGGGGTCCAGACCATTTCGCTCACCCAGATGTGTGGTTTATCGCCCCTGCTGACCCTCAGTACTAAGAGGCAAAGCTCCTCTCTCCCTCCCCAGTCCTCCCTCCCCCGTAGTTTCCGGGCCTCGGCGGCAGTCAGCTCAGCGCTGCGGTTTGCGTCTGCACTCCCTCCGAGGTTGCACCTCTAAAGTCGGCCTTTCTCTCTCTCAGGTGAGCCTCATGTTAAACGGGTGGCCGGTGATTTCAGCCTTCGCTGGTGACCAGGACGTGACCCGGGAGGCCGCCAGCAACGGAGTCCTAATCCAAATGGAAAAAGGCGACCGAGCATACCTCAAGTTGGAGCGGGGGAACTTGATGGGGGGCTGGAAGTATTCGACCTTCTCAGGATTCCTCGTGTTTCCGCTTTAACTGGCTCATAGCCGGAATGGAGGCAGGGAGAGGGCGAAGGCAGGAGGGGGATTAAAAAAAAAAAAAAAAACGGGAAATTAAGATGACGAGAAAGCGACAGGAGCCGGAAACTTCCTACCTGTTCCCTAGCTGTGTCCGGCAAAAAAGGTGCGCGGCCAGCCGGTCGGACGACTTTGTCTGTTTCCTTACTCGGAGAAGTAATTCCGCTTTGCTCTGCGCACTCCCAATTTCCAAAAATAAACTCGCCTCCCCCATTCCAGGTACAGTAATCAAGAAAGAGACTCTCTTGTCTTTGTTTCTTACCCCCGTTCCTATTTCCTACAGTTCGTTGAAAAGAAACTTTGCATTTCATTATATGTGAACTCTTTCTCCTTTATTACCTCCTCGGAATCTTTTCATTTAGTGAAATCTAATATGTTCCACCTACCCCCGCCCTTTTCCTCTCTCTCTTTTTTTTTTCTTTCTTTTTTCTTTTTCTTTTTTTAGTTTGGAGAGGGGATATAGTTTTTTTTTTTTTTGGACGTGAGAGTTAGTTTCAATTTGACAAATATTGCTCTTCTTAACACACAGCTCAAGAGTTCATTAGTTGAAGATACTTTGTATCCTCGGCTGCTTGTGAGCCGAGAAAGGACTCACCCCGTATTTCTATGTCCTATTCGGAGTGATCGTGAAATCTAAGGCTGCTTGATGTTCTGACGCTTGTCAATGCCCTCGTGCTCTGTGGCTCCACTAAACGCCAAGGAGGTTCTTCCGGATGCTTCCTCGTCTTCTGTAACATACGTGTGAATAGCCAAGATTTAATTTTGCTTTAATCCGATGAAGTCAAAGTGGAACTTTTTACTTTTCTGAAATGGCTTTCTGAACTGCGCATCTTCTCCAGCTGCAAGGTGGATGGCCGGGGGGCCCCGCCCTCGTGCTCTGTGGCTCCACTAAACGCCAAGGAGGTTCTTCCGGATGCTTCCTCGTCTTCTGTAACATACGTGTGAATAGCCAAGATTTAATTTTGCTTTAATCCGATGAAGTCAAAGTGGAACTTTTTACTTTTCTGAAATGGCTTTCTGAACTGCGCATCTTCTCCAGCTGCAAGGTGGATGGCCGGGGGGCCCCGGGGCGAGGTTCAAGAGGGAAATGTGGAGTAATCTTGCCAGGCCAGGCGCAGCCGTCGGTCTGGAATCGAAGTTTGGGTTTTCGCGTTTCAAGTGCACCAGAAATACTCCCAATTCGAGGACCTGAACCAGCCTGCCCCGAGCGCAGACTCCCTACTCCTACTGTCCCTGGATGTCCCCAGGTCTCGTCTGCTCCGCAGTACCTGAAGCAGCGTAAGTTTTATATCGCCGCCTCTGAATCTGGAGTCCACCCGCCAAACCGCCCCGGCGCCCAAGAACCGGGTGATCGTGTCCATGCGCAGGACTCTCATTCAAGAGGTTCGTCCAGGAATTTTGATTGTATTGGAACATAATGTGAAAGCAAAATTGAAATAAACGACTTCGTTTTAAGTCTGGAAGGCTGACCCTGTCGCTTTGGCAGTGGGGAGGTCACGCGCGGGAAAGCTGGTGGAAGCCAAGGGCCCACGGCCTGGGGCTGCCACAGTCCTGTGTCCCCCTGGTCCTACTCCTTTTTTTAGAGGGTTTTCCCTGTCGCAAGATACGGAGATGAATTTAATTAGCTCCTAGAAGTAGGGAGTGTGTGTGTGGGAGGGGTGGTGGGGGGGGGTGGAAGTGCGTTTTGATAGCACAATAAGCGCAACATTTCTCCAATTTATTCTCGGCTTCTGAGTTAAAGATTCACCAAGCACAGGGTTTCAGTTGAAATCCAGGCCCTATATCCTCTGCAAGCCACCCCAGGGCACCAAGCGTCTCTGGCCGACGCCCTCAGCAGCTCCAGTAGTCCAGGGTCCCACAGGGGACAGGGAAGGACCTCGGCCATGAGGAGTGAACCGGAGTGGTTTTCTCTACCTGCCTATCAGTTCCTTTTTCCTCAGTCAGTCCCCAGATAAGCAAAGATAAGGAGGAAGATGGACTGTAAAGGAATTGAGAAAAGCTGTGCTTTTTAATAAAGAGGCACACTTTCTCTGCAGCCTTCCGATGAGGAAGGAGAGGTCAGGGACAGCTGGAAGCCTTCAGCAGAGGAACTAGCCAGATCCATCAGCTTTGTGCCCACGGAGCCAGCCCTCCAGGAGTGGAGACAGCGCCCGGGGTCTTCCAAGCATAAGCAGGAGGCTTGCCCCACGGGTGGGGGAGCCATCCGCCAGGGAGCTCAGAATGCTGCTGAGCTCACCCGCTGCCACGCGTGAGTGCTCACCCCTCTTCCTGAAGGCAGGAACCACCAGGGTTCTGGTCCTGATGGCTATCCCCCAAGTCCCCATGGGAGCCACCATTCTGTGTGTCAGCTGAGTGACTTCGCAAGTCCCCTTCACCGACCTCAGCTTGCTGATCTGTGCAAAGACAGGAAAGAATCTGATGTATCTCTGAGTCCCTCCTACTCTGTGGATCCAGGCATTCTCTGTTTTCAGATCAGGGGCAGCAGGTTATTTTGCCTTGGTTACTGGGGTCTGAGCTGACCGTGCTGTGAGTGTCGCTCCTGAGGCTGTGTGGAGGCCAGGGGCAAGTTAGTGCATACAGAGAGAACAGATGGGCCCCAGAGAGAAAGAGATGGGGAGGTTGTCTTAAATCTGCTGCAGCTCCCTCACCTCTTGGGGAAGAGTCCCTGCTCCTCAAACTCTGAACTTGACATTGGAGACCCTTCTCCATCTGACCCAGGCTTCTTTTTCCATCTGCTGACCCCTTTCCTCTGCCCTTTGATGAACTATTTCTCTTTACTGACTTTATGACTCCATAGCTGCTGGTTTTTTTTGCTTGAAGTTCAAATACCCTTTCTCTCCTCCAGTTGTGAAAATGTTATCCTGCCAAGGACCTAAGAAGTTCCACTGAAATGCTGCTTTCTCTAGGAAACTATCCTATTCACACACTACTTTCTCCAAGTTACCACTCCCTCCTCAAGCTCCAACCAGGCCTGTTCTGGCTGGGAAGGAGGCATCAGGGTGGGCCTGTCTTCCACTCAGCCAGGGGTCCACCTGGCAGTAACAGCCATGCCAGCAAGCACTTTGGGATGCTTCAGAGGGCTCTGGGGAGATGCAGGGTTCCATGTCCCCCATACTATCCACATCCTCATGCCTGAGCCTCCTTTTAGCCTAACTGGGGCTGTGGATGGCTCTCCTCACAGACCTGCAGGTTAGAGCCCTGGTTGGGCCTGGTAGTGACTGTCAGAACACCTGCCTCACCTTAAGGGTGAAGGAGGGAGCAAATGTTACTTCAGTCAGAGGCAGGTAAGTCAACCTTCCACTGAAAATTGGTCTCCAGCTGGGAAGGAACCGGAGACTCCAACTGGTATGTTGGGGGTTGAGAGGGATTGAGAGAAAAAGATCTGCATCTCAGTGGGGACTGCCTCCAAGCCTCCAGCCTGGGGCTGGGGAGGGCATGGAGCTTCCTTTAATACTTAGAATCCTCTACTTCCCAGATGGGGACAGCTCCTCTTTTATCTTAAACAAAGCCCTTCTGATAACAGCCTGTAGGGGTTCCAGGACTGCTCCCTCTTCTTTCAGCCTTACTCAGTGTCAGAAAGGATCCTTCCAAGCCCAAGTCACCTTGGCTATGTCCTCCCCTCCTGATTCAATAGTACACATTGCCTCTTAAGGGAGCATTTCACATCTAGATCGGTGAGGTTGTCATGCCATTCTCTGGCCTCCCTCTTCAGAGTGTGGCCTTTCTTATTAGTCTGCCTCTTTTTTCTGTCCTCCTAACCAGTTTTCTGAGGGCAGATGTTGCATCTTCCTCTGCACAGCATCCTGCATCTAGATAGGTCAAGGGTTATGATGAAGAGGGACTCAGGGCTGCTCCTTAGACCCAAGACACCCAGATCTGACTTCTTCAAACTGTGCCTAGTGGTCCTGGGAGCGCTAGAAAGGAGCTGGGGTCATCGTCATCTCTGCTGTCCAAGAAGGCGTACAGGTTGCACTAGGTCCCGGCCAGTTCCTGGCTGGCTTGCTCCCTGTCACTGCTCCTGTCACCATTAGCAGAGTTGGGAGCTCACTCTCTGAGCTGTGCTGGAGCGGCTAATGCCTGTAGCCCAGTGGATCACCTCCTAATGAGAACATAATTACCCAGATGGAGTGGGAGCCTTATCCTGCTCTTTAATTGTTGCCTTAATGGGGTGGCAGTGGGAGAGAGTGTGGAGCAGAAGGAAGGGACAGGAAGTTCCTGTGGGTCTTATGTTGGGTCCAGGCAGACCAAGTAGAAGGTTAAAACCCCTGAGTTTCAGAGGCGGGCCCTGAATGTCACCTCCAGGCTTTATTAGGCATGGCCTTAGACTACTCTCCCTCAAATGGAATTACTTTCCTTAGCTTGCAAATGCAAGGGGTGGGCTAGAAGACATCTAGGGTTTCTTCCAGAGCGTCTTCCTTTTCTGATATACCTCCTTGAGTCTCTAAGCCTTCTCTACAGCATCCAGGGGCTACACACCTCCCAGCAGATGCTCCCTGCCCGTCCTGTCAATCCCACCGGCATGCATACAAAACCTCAAAACCTATCAGTGAGTCTGGGGGAGGCCCACGGTACCCTCAAACAGAAGGGCAAGCTAAGAGGGGAAGCTCGGGCACACCTCCTTTTGAGCTAATTCCATGGAGTAACAAAGGTTTCCTGAGGGCAATTACACAGGTATCTTATCCCTTTGCACAGGGGACCTCAGTAGAGACACGTATAGGCTTTCATCGAGCCTCAGTTTCCTCATATTTTAAATGGGAGACAACGATGCCTTTGCAACAAAGTATCTGTGATGACCATCCTAAAAGGTACGCGTAGTAGGTGCTGAACAAATGGTATCAACTGCAGGAGTTATAGACACCTGGTATATCACCCTGTCACGGAAACAGGACATAAAGGAACATCTGGGCATGAACAGATGGGAAAATGGAACCTGGGGGGTGGGGTGGGGTGGGGAGGACAGAGTAAGTGAATGTGAATGGTAGATACAGGAAAAGGGTCCTGTGTTCTTTCTTTCCCCTGAGCATTCATCCCATCCCCACCCTCCAGGGATCCTAAGAGTAGATTTTACCCCCACTATCTTTCGCCTCCACCTCTGTTGCTTATATATTTGCATTGACCACCATCGATGACTATGGCTGTCTGCATGCTTCCCCTTTAGAGTGTGAGCCTTGTTTGCTTGTCTGTGTCCTTTTAAAGAGTGG